TCTGTTTCAAATATTATGGATGAATAAAATTATAGCAATTCATTGTTTGCCTGTGATTAATACTTTATTGTATTAAATTGTATTGTTTTGAATTTTAATTGAACACTGAAGGAAATGTTCTAATGGGAAACTTTTTTTTACCTGACATAGTACCAAAAACATCTTAACGCAACAAAAAATGGACATCATGCAACAAGAAAACTTAAAAGGGGAACTGAAAAGACAAAACCAAAGTTCTTCCCAATCATATAAAACTAAGAATAGCATTTTTGCAAAAATCTTTTCTTCACTATACACTTGTAGTGCTTTTAAAAAATAAGAAAAAGGTACAAAGAACTGTGCTGTACCAATCTTTAATGAAGTGAAAATGAACGTAACGTATGTCCTCAGTCATTTAATACATGTAGAAAAAGTTGCAACACTGAGTAAATTTAAGACCCTTTTTTCAACTGATCAAAACTTTTCGTGATGAAAATACAAAATTGTTAAAGTTTTGGTATTTTCGATATTTCTATTTTCTTTAAAAGGCCATTAACTTTTATTGAGGGTGCCAACTAGATTTGTGCATTTCTGGTTAGTAGCTAATACTAATGTATCCCAGTAAATTTTAATTCACAGAACTCTTTAAAGTTACACAAGGAGAAAAAAACTCATTCAATACTTAAAGATTTATCCCCTGATCAAAATTTATCATTCAATTATGATGCGATTTAGCTTTTATTCACAATACAGTGTCATTAAATATGAGTTTGATGAGACACATAGATATTCAAAACAATATAATACAATAAAGCATATGAACCATTCTGTTTATTATTATTATTATTATTATTATTATTATTATTATTATTATTATTATTATTATTATTATTATTATAATAATTATTAGATTAATATAACCTTACTTAAAATCTTACGTCATACATGTCCATGAATTGGTACAAAACAGATAAACTTCATACAGTTAGTGCCATTGAATAGTACTTAMTTTTCTTTTTCTGTCACAATTTTATAATCTTTTCTTCCACAAGTTTAGAAAAACCTGTACAAACAATACATTAAATCGTTAAAGTGAGCGTTTTGATTGGGAATAGTTTGATATGACGTTTGGTAGCAGTTCATCGTACAGGATCAATAAAATAGAAAAATCAAAACCAGTTGAAAAAACATCCAGCTGGCTTTGGAGTGCATAGCTCAGGAATTGCTCCCACTAGAATTATAATTCAAAGTTTAAACAGTTTATAGAAAGTTGGACTTGTCGTAAATGACATTTTAATTTGCACCAATTGCACTTTTCTGCCTGATCACCAATATTTAAAAACTCTGACCTGCTAATTCCAATTTTGGCCAACACAGATTTTTAAAATAACTTACACTGTCAGGTGTTATAAGGTCACAATATACCTTCAATGTTACCATCTTATTTTATTGGAAAACATTGAACAAAACCCCTGAAACAATACAAACATGTTTTAACTGGACATTAGGTTGTTCTCACCGCAGAGCAGAAGGGAACGGTGGCTGATTTTCAGACCTTTGTGGAGGAAGATGAGAAGTTGATCTTTTCCACCAATCTTATCCAAGTATCGTTTGATATCCAATCTCCCAAATTTAAGGAAACTGGCATCGATAAATTGGCCCACCGATTTATCGGTGCCCCTCTACTTTTAGGGTTTCACACAGTTGCAGTATTTTTTTGGTTTGTTTGGGTTGTTTTACAATTTGACCACAAAATATTTCTACAATCGTTCAGCTTCTTCTGTTGTTTATACATCAAAGTATTGTTATTATTTACTATTGGTTTATAGAGAAGATAAATTATATCTGTTTGTATTTTTGGTCAATAGTTTCATGGTCATGCTTCCTCGGGGCCACCGGGAGGAGGCCCAGAGGAAGACCCAGGACACGCTGGAGGGACTATGTCTCTCGGCTGGCCTGGGAATGCCTTGGGGTTCCCCCGGAGGAGCTGGAAGAAGTGGCTGGGGAGAGGCAGGTCTGGGCCTCCCTTCTGAAGCTGCTGCCCCCGCGACCCGACCCCGGATAGGCGGAAGAAAATGGATGGATGGATGGATGGATGGAGTTTCATGGTCACGCTTTTAAACTGTCAGAAATATGATCTCTTTTCTCTGATCTGATGCAGCTGTCCTCCAGAGAGAAGGAAGCCACCAACTACAATCAGAAGCTGAAGGAGAAGTTTCAGCACCACCCGCAAATCAGGCGCATCGCTCGTCACCGACATCTACCAAAGAGCATTTTCCACCAGAAGAACGAGCTGAGGGCAATGAAGGAGGCTCGCCGGAGAAAGTGCGTTTTCAGAGCTTTTCTCGTTTACTCACTAGGAAAAAGATAAATGATTTGCTCAGTGCATGGATTTAAAGGAGATGCTGATTTGGGCTCCTGCCAGGAAAAATCTGACCTGAGCAGTCACACTGGCCTAATGGAAAATCTCACAGATGGGGCCGGCCACTATGACGTGGTCTCAACAGGCGTTACATACTCATTTACAGCTCGTGTGGTGGATTGATTGTCCCAGTTTGCCCTGGCCCTGAATCAGAGCTTGTCTCTGACTCTTATTTTCTAATTAGCGACAGAAGGACGACACCTTAGACATAGGAATGAGCTGCAAAGGCTTTAAAATCTGTTTTATGTATTGTTTTTCAAAAGCTTTAGCTTAGTCTTTGACGTAGATGATAGGTCAGCTGTCTCACATTCAGTCTCTTCTTCCGTCCTCATTGTTTGCTTTGCTCTCCCTGCCTCTTCACTCTACCATCTCCTGACTATTCAAATCAATACTTTGAGTTATTCCTCTTTTCCTTTTGTTTTAAATTTGTTTAAATTTTTTTTTCCAGGGAGAGGAATGTCCGTAAACACAGCAAGCCAGGAAGTGTCCCTGTGGTGTCTGAGAAGGAGAAAAGCGTTGTTGCTGTGGTGAAATAAAGCAGGAGAAGGAATTCCAGGACTTGGAGGATGGAGATGATGATTGTGAACTCATCAAGAAATATTCTGACTCTGTCCGGAGGACTTGAAAATATTTGTGGAAGAGGAAATGACCAGCATTGTTTTAATACAAGTGCACATATCTTGTAAAAACAGACAAAACCATTCTGACGAGTTCTTTATTCACATCCTTTTCAGTTTTTACTTAGGAAAATTTTAAATAAAAACATTTATTCAAATGCATCTAATGTAAAACCCTTTTGGACAGCATAATTTTCGGGTCAATTTTTAACCACTAGCAGTGTTCACATTTTCCCTGCTTGTCACTAGTTTCTGCCCACAGGTGTGTAGCCACTTGTTTTATGATGGCAGCTCCAACATTCATGAAGGAACTCTGTAACTTTGACAAAAAAGAGCTCAAAAGTAAAAATATCTAATTAAATGATCAGTGCCCTGTTCATTTAAAGCTATAATCAATTTTGATCTTAAAAAACGACCCAAGCAGATAAGTGTCAGCAAGGACACTTGCTGACACTCATTCTTAACTTTTGTTAGTGTGGAAATGATCATATCTCTTAGAAAAGTCAAATATTGGACAAAATTATTTTATGTAACAAAGCTGAGCTGAAGATGAGCCTTGTGAACATAGCAAAAATGTCTCACACATGGGCGATTCATTGCCATCAATAGCCTGCCAGGTTTTTCCATCATAAAGTAAATATCCTGTAGGTTTTCTTGTGTGATCTGTCAATTACCTCACGTTTATTCTTAATAAAACATTCAAACTATATCTTTATAAAACTTGTTGAAGAAAATGTCCTTTGTTATTTAAAATGTAAACTCAATCGCACCTTCCTCTTGATGTGTGACTTGTGGTCGATCCACACTGGTGTTAATGTAGACTGAGCTCTAAAAGGCTGTCAATTCTGCAGCTCCAGAGCTGGAGCCAAAGTTGTTATAGAATTGCGGAGGAACTCAAGATCAGTGGTATTTGGAAAAATAAACGTCATGGTGAGGCTGCATCCAGTTAAAAGTACATTTAAAAGTAAAATACATTTAAAAGTATTATATTTGCTGTGTAAGGGTGCACTTTCTTGCTCAGCAATGGTGGTGGTGGTGGATTTAAGATGAGGGTTGGGGGGGGGGGGGGGTTGGAAGCTCATGGTCCGGCTGGTTAGATTGGACTTTTCCATGAAATGTCATGAGAATAAAACAGAGGTCTTCACTTCAATTACTAGTACCCCTTCAATCAAACGTAATGAAGATTCTCCAAAACTATAATGTACTACAACTGATTATTAAATAAAAATTATTTATTTAACCCCCTAGAATGTTTAATTCTCAGGCATTTTATTATTTTCAACTCAAACATAAAGATAAAAATGTGGCTTTGAAAGTGAATAAGTAATTAAATAAATAAACCAGGTATTTGCAGGTACAGAAAACAGTGGCATCCAAAATACATCAGAAACTCACCCAAATGAGCAAATTCTGTGAAATTACATATTTTATACTGGATTCCATTTTGTGGTAATTCCGTGATTCAGACTGCAATTTTTGCATTGCAGAAATCATAGGGCCCAACATATCTCAATCCCATTTTTATTTTTATTTTTTTACACACCTGGGAAATTTTCCATGTAACCCCGTGGTTGGGAATCACTGCTTTAGACAGTGTGCAGGGGGTAAAGGAACTGTCCAAGGTCTTGAAGGTGCTGGAAAATTTCAGGACCTTGGACAGTGTGAAGGACTGAAGGAACTGTCCATGGTCCTGAAAGTCCTGGAACGTTTCAGGACCTTGGACAGTGTGAAGGACTGAAGGAACTGTCCAAGTTACTGAAAGTACTGGAATGTTTCAGGACTTTAGACAATGAAAAGGGCTGAAGGAACTATCTAAGGCACTGAACGTGCTGGAATGTTTCTGGACCTTGGACAGTGGGAAGGACTGAAAGAACTGTCCAAATTCCTGAAAGTGCTGGAATGTTTTAAGACCTTGAACAGTGTGAAGGGCTGAAAGAACTGTCCAAGGTACTGAAAGTGCTGGAATGTTTCAGGACTTTAGATAGTGTGCAGGGCTAAAGGAACTGACCAAATTCTGGAAAGTGCAGCATTGTTTCAGGACCTTGGGCAGTGTGAAGGACTGAAGGAACTGTCCAAGGTTCTGGAAGTGCTGGAATGTTTCAGGACCTTGGACAGTGCGAAGGCTTGAAGGGACTGTCCAAGTTACTGAAAGTGCTGGAAAGTTTTAGGACCTTAAACAGTGTGGGTTGAAGGAACTGTCCAAGGTCCTGAAAGTGCTGGAATGTTTCAAGATTTTAGACAGTGAGAAATGCTGAAGGAATTGTCCAAGGTCCTGAAAGGGCTGAAATATTTCAGGATCTTAAACGGTGTGAACAGTTGAAGGAACTGTCTTAAGGTCCTGAAAGTGCTGGAAAGTTTCAGGACCTTAAATAATGTGAAGAGTTGATGGAACTGTCCAAGGTTCTGAAAGTGCTGGAATGTTTCAAGATTTCAGACCAGTGGTTTCCAATCTTTTTAGACTTGTGTACCCCATGAGCCATTTTGTCATACCATTAGTACCTATTCAGTCAGACGTAATGATGATTCTTCAAAACTATAATGTGCTACAACAGATTATTAAATGAAAATCATGTATTTAACCCCCTAGAACGTTTAATTCTCAGGCATTTTATTATTTTCAACTCAAATTAAACAGTTAAAAATGTTGAAATGTTGCCTTGAAACTGAATAATTAATTAAATAAATAAACCAAGTATTGGCAGTTGCAGAAAACTGCAGCGTCTACAACACGTTGTACTGRCCAAAATACATCAGAAACTCAACCAAAGGAGCAAATTCCGTGAGATTCCACATTTTATAATGTATTCCATTTTCTGTTAATTACGTGATTCCGACTGCAATTTTCACGTTGCGGAAATCATAAGGCCCTACATATCTCAGTCCTATTTTTATTATTATTTTTTTTTTACACACCTGGGAAATTTTTCCACGTACCCCTGTATTGCATACCCCTGGTTGGAAATCACTGCTTTAGACAGTGTGCAGGTCTAAAGAAACTGTCCAAGGTCCTGAAAGTGCTGGAAGTTTCAGGACTTTAGACCAGTGGTTTCCAACCCTTTTAGACCTGATTTAACTTGGAATGAAAATCTTGATGTTTTTTACAACTATAGTTTAACCAGTCATTACCTGATATTTTTAATTTAAAAATGTCTCTTTAGTTAAGCTTAGTGTAGTTTAATTCATTTATTCATTTCATTTAAAAACAAAACAAAAAAATTATACACATAAAGTATATATACAATCACAATTAAAAATAAAAGGAGACAGAAGAAAAAAAATCCTATATCTGCCTATTTTTTCCTAAGTTAATGTCAAGCAATAATAATTAAGATACAAAACAAAGTAAAAGCTTTAGTGAGCATTGCCACTTAAGTCTGAAAGAATTCTTTGACTGACTATAAGAGGAAACAAACAAACAAACAAACAAGCAGAAATATTACTGAGAGTATTCCTCGCTGATGAATTGTGGTAAGTCTTGAATTCTGAGGTCTCCCACTTTCTGACATGGATTGCATAATCGAGATGCATTATGGGAGATGTAGTTTATGGTCAATGCTGCCTTTAAAGCAGCTTATTTTGAGAGGTTAATACAGGGTTGTTCATCTCAACTACTTGTCCACAGTTATTCAGAGCCAACAGCTCAGGGACTGGACAAGTATTATCCTTCACTCGTTATGTTTATTTTATTGCATTGAATCATAAATTTAAAGTATAACAGTGATCAAAAAACCATTTTCATATTAATCAATTTTTTTAGGGTGCGGGGTCAGCCCAAGGTCCGCGGGCCTTGAGTTTGACACATGTGTCAGTCAGATTTTAGTTGTGCTGTTGGTTCTGCTTCTCTCAGCTGGGAACAGAGCCTGAGTTCTGTGTTCTGTGCTCTGTCTGTGTGGAGACTTTAGAAAAGCACCGAGCGGAACCGCTGCCACACCTGCAGCTCAGCTCCGGTCACTGCTCATATTCCGCACGTGGCCTTCTTTCAGAGCTCAACATCCGGTTCTGAAATATGCATGACACTCTCCTGGCTCCAGTCCGTGCTTTCCCTCTTTTCTTTCTGCCTGCTGCTGTCAATGAACATTCACAGCGTCCGCTACGTGCTTCCATCGCTCCTCCTCTCTCTCTCTCTCTCTCTCTCTCTCTCTCTCTCTCTCTCTCTCTCTCTCTCTCTCTCTCTCTCTCTCTCTCTCATCCCTCCCTCTCTTTCTGTCATTGCATCCATTTTTTGTGCATTTAAGAAATCGCCAAGAATTACCAAGCTGGAGGAAGGCGAGCTAAACAGAGAGGCAGAGGAGGGGGTAAAGGGACTCCAGAGGGAAGCTATAACCAGGACGGACCGGGCATCTTTTTATTTATTTATTTATTTATTTATTTATTTATTTTTACTCCAACATGAGAGAGAAACCTCTCTAAAGGATGGCAGCGATGGGTTAGACAGGATTCAACATGACTGCAAAATAAAAGGCAAGACTTCTTTTAATCCACTGAGTTGTGTGTGTTTAAAAACCAGGGAGGATAGATTTGGACGCCCAACTATTTTTTGTTGTTTTAATCTGCAAACAGCTTAAAGATTGTGAATCTGCTGCCAGCTGTGTTTGTAGCTATATTTGAAACCTCAGCTTGAGCCTTTACCAGCTGCAGGATGAATCCCCTGATTAATATTTTTGGCGATTATTTCTGCAGCACAGTGTCATGTGTGCATGATGCCGCTAATGGAGTCAGCTGCTTGTAAAACGTGTTACAGCCTTCCCACAAACCAGATTTGAGATTTTATTTTATTTTTTTACCCGACATAGGATAATGTTGCCCACGTTTCTGCTTAATAAACAACTCCTTTCTTCCCCCCCTCTTTAAATGTAGCCAGTGTGTAAGATGTCTGCTCCACACGGGCCCCGGGGCGGCCCTGCTGCAGCCGCCGCCGCCGCTCCCTCAGCGGCCGGCGCCATGCCCGAGCTGCCGGACCTCAGCCACTTCACCGAGGAGGAGAGGAAAATCATCCTCGGTGTCATGGAGCGGCAGAAGAAGGAGGAGGCGCAGGAACAGTCCATGTTAAAGTAAGGGAAAGGCAGAGATACTAATGAGGGGTGATGTTTTGTGGCTTGTTGCTGCTGCAGATTCGGTTTCTGTCCCCCCGTCTCACTCAGGAGCTGGTGGGTCATGTTGCCTCACGAACCGGGAGCTTTGACAGTACCGGTTGGTAGCGAATGGACTTTTCAGCTCTTCTTCCCTACTTTATTCATCATCATTATTATTATTACTAACAGTAACCTTCATAGAGTGCGGCATATGTAACAAAATAGTTCCCCTTCCGCACTTTGTTGTGACTGTAGCTTGAACCACGGCGGGCAGGGTTAGCAGCGACGGCCGCCATTTTCACGTAACAGGCACGCTAAATTGCTTAACCTTTCCCCACGAACGTCACCGAGATTACACAATATGACTCTGGAAAGACTATTTAAGGTGTCCTTTGTGGTGGTGGCGCACACGGCGCGCGCGTGCGCCGGCACAGCCTGTCCCCCACCCCTCGCTCACCCTGACACCCACCCTTCCTTCCCCGCTCCTCTTCTGTACAGATGTCGCTCGGAGCTGTTTCAGCACCGCGGAGCTGTCCGCTGGAAGCTCTCACATTTAAGGTGGACCGGCAGAGTTCCCGCCACGGTCGCTTCCAACCCTTTACTGTGGCAGCCATGAATCTGGAATATTGCGCTCCAAATCATTTCATTTTGTCCGTTTCAAAACATATTTATTCAGCGCGTTGCTGAATAGAAGATAAATTGATGTGAGCTAACATTATGAAGAAGGCTAATGAGGAGGTGTAAAGATTTTATGGTGGTGACCTTAAACGTCTTTTGATATTTTTTTTGTAGTTTTTTTTTTCCTTCTGGGTGAAAGAGTGCACGTGCTTGTTTMCTCACAACCAAGCCAATTCATCTGGCTTCATTTAATATATTTGTTGGGTATTTTACATATTTTAGAAGCTAATTGACGTATTTCTTCTATAAGTGATGCTTTTGTGCTACTCCCACTATACACCATTTATTGAAATATAAGCAGTTTTTTTTCCTACTATTTAGAGATGCTTTCGAGCCTAGGCGCTACTGGAGAGAAAGTTGTGCAATCCCTGCCTCGTGCAGCTGCATGATAAACATGACTCATGTACTCTAAGACACAGCTACCTCAGCCGCCGCAGTAGACATGATGTGTGATTCATCCAGGCCTTCTACTCCTTCCTCCCCCCATTTCTCCATCCCTTTCCTTCCATCCTAATAATGGCATCATTTCTTCCCATTTCTGTGTCTCTGAGATAAAGAGGATTGTCAGTTTTAGTCACTCTTTGTCCATCAGTGATGTGAAAAACCCTGATGATACGCAGAGGAGACTTATTTAATAGACACAACTTTTTTTTAATAATATGAGGAATCAAGATAAATAGGTTTTGGAAGATCCAAATGCAGTGTATCACTCCTCGTTTTGATATGAATCTGTTTTGTTGAGGTCCTCAGATTTAAAAACAAACCTATTCTTTAGTAAAGTGTTTTCAATCACTACATTACATTAGCTTCACTACATCACATTACAATCACTACATTAGCTTATTGTGCTCTGTCTTTGCATGATGGTGACTCATTATGAGTCATTGAAACAGTAAATCCCCACTTTCTTTACCTATGAATCACATGAGCGTAACGTATAATGAAGCAGCATTAATATGCTCAGCCCTAAGATCAGTACAACTGCAGTGGATTAGGCTGTCACAGGGTGTTTTTTTGCAGCATTTCCAGCGGTGTCAGAAACACAACTCCCATGCTGCATCATCCGACCTCATGCTTACGGTTCGCGCAGTCCGGTCCCACGGTTGGTGTTTCTGAAAGGAGTCGGTTTGAACATTGACGTGTGGAGTCAAACAGAGGGAATTCTGGTGAGGGGTGGAGGGGTGGAGCAGAGAGAGAGAGAGAGAGAGAGAGAGAGAAGGAGCGAGGGGCCTCCAGCTGCAAGGCTTGCCAACATGCTGTCATCTCACTGGAGGTGCTACAGAGAGCGTGGATGGGAGTCCAGCACTGCTGACTCGCATGTAATTAGCTCTCTCTGAGTCTGCTCATTTTTCCTGCAGTGTGTGTGTGTGTGTGTGTGTGTGTGTGTGTGTGTGTGTGTGTGTGTGTG